GTTTTCTAGTTCTAGAATTTCAAGTCTGGTGGCATAAGGTATTCTACTACGAGTAGAGGAGTGGAGAACTCTTCTTGTGAAATATTTCTGGACTTTCTCAATTGTGCTAATATCAGATATGTAATGTGGGTTCCAGACTGATGAACTGTATTCGAGTATTGGTCTAGCAAATGTTTTGTATGCTCTGGTTAGTAGTGTGATATTACCAGAGAAAAAGCTACGTAGGATTAGGTTAACAACTCTTAATGCCTTTTTGGCTATGTAGTTGCAGTGGGCTCTAGCACTTAGATCATTAGAGGTGAGTATTCCAAGGTCCTTTACAGAGCTTGGGTCATCAACAAGTTCTTGACTATTCAGCTTGTATTTTATTTTCTGATTTTTTTTGCCAATATGTAAGATAGAGCATTTATTTGTTGAGATTTGAAGTTGCCATTTGTTTGACCATTCTGATACATAGTCAAGATCAAGGTGAGGTCAAGGTGAGGAATGGACCTCACCTTGACCTTAACATGCTTTGCACATTAGAAACCCATAGAAAGGAGAGATAAATGGCACACTCCACGCTTGGTGGTTTTTTTCTGCAGACATTTCATTACCAAACTAGGTGTTGTGGTTCACCGGCAGCCTGTGCAGACTGCAGCGGGATCGGACTGTGGGGAAGAATGGGGGTCAGTCCGGGAGTCTGAAGAGGACTCGGACAAGGGTCCTGCATCCAATGCAGGGATGGGGCCAGGACCATCTGGGAGTGGGGTACTGCCTCCAGAGTCTTTGGAGTCTGGCAGCAGTGAGGCAGAGGACCCAGGGGAGCCTGTTCCCAGTGCACAGAGCTGCTAGAAGGCGAGAGCAGCTGAAACAAAAGGGGCGACTTGGGAGTAAGGCTGGGAGGTGATTGCCCCTCCCATAAGGGATAAAGGACAGGCCAAGATGATGAATCCTTTGCAGGAAGCAAAGTAGTTCATTCGGTTCAGGATCATTCTTGAAGCTCTTTGTACTTGAGTTGGGTTTTTTTCTGGTTCATTTGATACTTCTGTTATTGGCAGCACTTCACAGAAAAGAAAGGTGAGTGCTTATCTCGAGGGACTATTTGAGATTCATTACTGGCTGGGAATGAAAACAATTCCCAGCGTTGCAATAAAATAAGACTTGTTTTTAAAATAAGCATGTGCGTAATTATGGTCTAGGAAGCCTTGGTCAGAACACTAGGTAACATCATCAGTTCACTAGTTGGATAATGAAATGTCTGCAAGGAAACCATCAAGTTCAGAAGGCACCAAGGACCTCATAACCCTGAACTACAAATATTCTCTTCCATCAATAAATGGTACATTTTATCTAATCTCCACTCCACTTCAGTTCTGTTTTAATATCTCCGGATTATTTCTACCAATGTTTAAATTGTAGTGCAAACTTTCCTTGGAAGTATCAGCAATAAAAAGATGTGTGCAGTAGGTCAGTGGTAACTCCTGCAGGAATTAATGTTGCTTCAAGATATCTCCTTTCCTAGACATAGAGTTATTCTACACTATCATCTAAGTAGGGTCTAGTAATCGGGGGAAATGAAAATCCCAGCCACTGTAGTTTATCGATATACCCATATCCGGTACATACATGCCATTTTTCACTTATTTAATTTAAAAAAACGAAGCAAGGATCTCCCTATTAGATCTTGCTTCTTGTTCTTCTGGTTGTTATAGTTTTGTATTTATTTAGGTGGGGCTTTGTTCTTGATTTTGTAAATAGTGCTGAAGTTTGCTATAGGGTGGCTTCCCAAGAATTTAAATAAAACAAATACTAAACAAAGGTGATTTATAGACAAAAGCATATTGCATTTGTTACATTTTTAGGCAACTGGTTCTTAGCAGCTGTTTTCCATGCCCACAAGGAACGCCACGCTGGCGATATTCTTGGGATATCATATATGTGGGTTTCTTGACTTTTAAGCTGTTCACACTCTAACTCCAAGTATTCTTGGATCGGCATGCTGACTAGAGAATTCTGGGAGCTGATGTCCTCTCAAATCAAACTTGAGAAACACAGGGATAGATTAATATAATCATAATATGGTTTAAACCCAACACATTTCTCAAACAGGTATAGCCACCACTCCTGGTAACAAAACATCTTTAGATCTTCTCAAAAGTGTCTACATGGTTATGAAGTGGATTCCAGTGGTGGGATCCAAATTTTTTTACTATTGGTTCTGTGGGTGTGGCTTGGTGGGTGTGGCAGGGGAAGGATACTATAAAATCTCCAGTCAGAGGTGATATTTGCCGGTTCTCCAAACTACTCAAAATTTCTGCTACCGGTTCTCCAGAACTGGTCAGAACCTGCTGAATACCACCTCTGATTCCTTGGATTGAGCTAGCAGCTCAAGGGTCTCCAATCTTGGCAACTTTTAAGACTTGTGGACTTCAACTCTCAGATTTCCTCAACCTGACTGGGGAATTCTGGGAGTTGAAGTCCACAAGTCTTCAAGTTGCCAAATTTGGAGACCCTTGAGCTAACTAGCACCTTAGGATATTGTTGGAATTATTGATTTAACTTTAAAATATCATGTTCTTTCTCTTCTTCTGAATTAGGAACCCTCAAGATGAATCCTCACACGGTTATAAACCAGCCACAGATGACAGTGACCCAACATCAAAGCTGTGAATGGCAAACCGACTTATTCGATTGTTTCAATGACTGGGGAGTGTGTAAGTAGCTATGTATATATCTCAGGGTGGAGACAGTTGTAGACTTGTTGGAATTCTTGAGTAAATCTTGGACCAAATACTTCTCCAAACTGGAAGATTGTTGTCGTGAAAATACATTTTCACAATTTCAGTCACAAATTAACTTCCGTGGACCTTACTTCATACTTAAGTGGTCAGTAGAGGGGGCGTGCATAAGTGCACTAACATGCCTATTGTCCCTGTCGTTGTATTTTTATTCTCTTATTCTTGTGCTCATTTTTGTTTGACAAATTCCAATAAATAAAATAAAATAAATAAAATTGTGATTATGTTTACTAAAGGTAGGTGTCAACTCTAAAATATTTCTATAGTCTTTTTAGAGTTGCCAACAGAAAGGAAGGGGTATTGGTATTCAACTGGTTTGCACCGGATCGGGCGAACCGGTAGCAAGAATTGGGCGTGGGTTGTCAAACCAGTAGTAAGTTCTGGCTGGCCACACACCCGATCCAGTCGCCCTCCCGCCCGATGCTTGCTTACCCCGCCAGCCTGACATTCACCTAAGGTATTTCTTTTTTTCCCCCTCCCGACAATCAGCTGTACATAGATCAGCTGTGCCGGGATTCCCCTTGCTGAGGCCCAGGAAGGCAAAAAATGGAGGGAGGAATTCAGCCTCCCCACTCCAGAGGAGCTTTAGGGGAGCAAAAATGCCCCCCCCCCGACTCTTCTGAGGCTAGGAAGCTCCCAGAAACGAATGGAGGCTGCAAAAAAAGCAAAAAAAAAAAAAAAAAGCCACACCCACCCAGTCACATGGCCATGCCCACCAAGCCATGCCCACAGAAACGGTAGTAAAAAAAATTTGAATCCCACCACTGGGGGGGAAAGGGTTTGAAAGAGCAGTGTGGCAGCTTGGAAATTGGAAGTGCATTCCATAAATAGTTTTCAAAGATAGTAGCTAGGGGATTGAAGTTTCTGCTGTGCAGAATTCTAACTGGAGAACATGATTGATGACTCTTGGCTATGAATGTGTCTCATTGGAGAATATGAATTACGATACACCCAGGGGGTGGGGGGGGAAACCAATAGATGGGGCGGGGCCAGTCAGAGGTGGCATTTGCTGGTTCTCCGAACTACTCAAAATTTCCACTACTGGTTCTCCAGAACTGGTCAGAACCTGCTGAATACCACCTCTGCTTCAGGGCCTTGTGAAAGAATGTCAAAGTGGGATCCAGTCTAATTTCTGCAGGGACAATGTTCCACAGGGAAGTGGCCACCACGGAGAAGGCCCTTCTTCTGGGTCCCGCCAGATGTATCTGCTTAGGAGAGGGGACTCACAACATCCCCTACCTCCCCATTCTAGTGAATCCAGTGGATGCAATCGAGATGGTCCTTCAGATAACCTCATCCTTACTTGAACTTATAGTTGTTGGCATTTTGTTTCATAAAGAGCGTGTGGTATTCCCTGGGAGAGAACTCTATGGGGTGTTCTTATCATGTATAAACTCACCCAGATGGCATTTGCAAAAGTTTCTACTTCTACTTTCTAGGTTTCTGTGGAATGTGTTGTCCCCTATGTCTGGGATGCCAAATTGCCTCAGAATTGGACGAATGCCCTCTTTGTGGCATAACCATGGCCTTTAGAACTCTCTATCGGACAAGATATGGCATTCCGGTGAGTAGAGGCTCTCTACAGTACTTCCTTCCTGTTTTCATTTGGGTTTTGAAAACATCTTTAACCTGGTTGTCAACTCATAAAATATTTCTATGGTCTTTTTAGAGTTGCCAACAGAAAGGAAAGAGGGAGTAGTGCAGTAGCTTGCAAAAATGAAACTGCATTCCATAAATGTTTTCAAAGATAGTAACTAGGTGACCGAAGTTTCTGTCACACAAAATTCTAACTGGAAAGCATGATTGATGACTCTTGGCTATGGATGTGTCCCATTGGAGAATATGAATTATGATATATCCAGGCAATGCCAGACCTTTTAACTCCCAATAAATCCTTTTGAAGTTTTGGAAGTTTGGCTCAAGACTCATGATTTAAATGGGGTTAAGTGCCGGAATCCTGACACTAATTGTCTATGGAGATTGCCAATCATCCAGGTCATGGTTGTGCCAACGGTGGTTTTTCCAAAAGGTAACTGGACTTTCTTGGGGTTTTTTTTCATTGAAAACATTCTGCTACTCATCCAAGAAGCGTCTTCAGTTTTGGAGAACTGAAGAAATTCTTGAATGAGAAGCAAAAGATTTTTAAAGATTTTTAAAGAAAAAAAAATTGTTTAAAAAAACATTTAAAAAAAAAACTCCCAAGAAAGTCTAGTTGCCTTTTGAAAAAGCACCTTTGGGGATTTTAACTTGGTTCTTGAATTAAATCTTTTCTGAATTTGTACTATGGATTAAATGGCAAAAAAAGCAGAGTGTGGATTTGCACAGCAGTTGGAGGAATCTCTCCTCCACGAACAGCAGTTGGAGGAATCTCGCCACGAACAGCAAAGAAATGCAGGAGATGTGATTCTACCCATTTCAGTTTTCATTGTTAGGATCCTATTCAATTTGATTTTTGTAAGGATTATATATATATAATTTGGCACATATGTTCCTCTTGGCTTCTAGGTGCTCACTAAGAAAGGATTTTTCAAAATGACCATCAGAGCATTAGTATTTTGTATATTATTATTAACACGCTCTGAAGCTAAGGAGTTCTATTCTCCCTCCCACCTGAAAAGAAATCTGTTCCAAATGCAAAACACAAGCAGAGGAGAGGAGTTTCCGTTTCCGTTTTAGTTTCACAGCACCAAGCAGCTTTAGTACAGAACAGTTGAGTTAAGCCACACCCAGGCTCCTTGCTGTCTCCTTCTTGCTCACACAGTAAATACTGTTTCAGTTTCCAGACAGCCCTCAACTCTCTCACACACACTGATAGGACTCTAGCCAGATGAATATCAATGGATGCTGGTAGGCAGAGGCAGAATTTTCTTTTCGTTATTTTCGTCCCCAAAAACTAAGTCCAACCATATAGTTTCATAGCAAAGCATGGGTAGTATTTCTATAAATGTACACCAACCCAGTTTGTGTACAGAATTTTCCTAATGGAATGCGTTTTATATAGACTTTCTCTAAGTTTACCTCTTTTTTCATCGGTGAACTATATTGCCAAATTAGAAAAAGGGTGGATTTCATAATGATAACTTTTGACCTGTGTGTAGGTGTGGAAATTCAGAAACCAGCCAGTTGGCATACACATACTGAACAAAAACTTAAAAAATGGTCTTCCTCACCCCTAAAAGATTAAATATCTCTGAATATAATCAAAGCTGCCTTTTTGGGGGATGATGTATGTTAATTAATTAATGGACGACTCCTTCCAAAATTGTGAAATTCAAGTCTGAGAATTCTTAGCAGTGATTATCTTGGCCGGGGACTTCTGAAATTTGAAATCCAAAATGACGAGCCGTTGGACAAAGGGTGTTTTACATTCTGAAATATTGATGCGTGCCATATTTGACATGTGAACAGCCCTCGCGCACGTATAATGTGACTCTCTCATCTACTTGCAAAAGACTTGTTCTGCTTTTAACTTATCTTTCTGCTTAACAGGGATCCCTCCTGAGTGACTATTTTGCAACAGCATGTTGCACTTTTTGTAGTATTTGCCAACTCAAGAGAGACATCAATAAACGAAAAGACAGGGGAATCTTCTAAAAAGGTTGGTGTTTACTCACTGGACATGCTAAACCTAATTTTTTATTAGTTACATTTTTAGTGCTTAATAAACATCATCTGGGTATTAAATTTGTTTACCAATACATATTACATTTTTAATCTCCACCTCTTTCTTCCAACCACTGTTAAAATAAGATTCCATGTTTGGTAATAGTCTATATCTTCTTTCTGTTTCATTTTTAATGTCAATCTGTCCATTTCTGCACACTCTAGTACAGAGGTGTCAAACTCGATTTCATTGAGGGCCACTTCAGGGTTGTGTTTGACCTCAGGGGAGCTGGGTGGGTGTGGCCAGGGTGGGTGTGGCCAACATGACATCACTCATGTTGGGGGAGGGCACCTGTGGTGATCTGAGTCCTCGGCCAGTAAAAATGGGCTCCCATTTTCAGCTGTGGAGGTCTCCCGCAGCCCTCTGTCAGTGGGGCTCCTTTTTTGCTGGCAGAGAAACCACGGCCTGGTCCTTCACTGTTTCCAGGGCAGCCCTGCAGGCCAGATCTAAGCACTCCACAGGCCAGATCCGGCCCCTGGACCTTGAGTTTGACACCCCTGGTCTAGTATCTTCTTAATTATGTCTTCATCTCGTGGTGTTTCTTCATTCTTCCAGCATTGCATAATACAGTCCTTGCTGCTATCAAGACTTACAATATTAAATACATACTTTTCTTATCAAGTTTACCTGTTATTATACCTAATAAAAATAGTTCAGGTTTAAAATCTACATGCTTTCCAATCATCTTTTCTAGCCAATTATGTATTTTTTCCCAATTTATTTTTGCTTTACCACAAGCCCACCACATATGATAGTATGTGCCCATTTTTTGATTACATTTCCAACATTTGCTAGACATCTTTTTAAACATTTTAGCTAACCTAGCTGGGGGTAAGTGCCATCTAAATAAAAATCATTACATTATTTACTCCTGCACCGCATATTCAATAAAATATGCCTCCAGAACCCTGTGTTCTAACTGTGTATTACAGGTAGTCCTCAACTTCTAATTCACAATAAGGACCAGAAAATTCACTGTTAAGCAGTACAGTTAAGTGAAGCACCATGGGACTGCACCGATTTTGCAGCCGTTTTTGCCATGCTTATTAAATGAGACATCATGTGATTATGATTTGCAGCTTCCTGCCAGTTTCCCATTACTTGACGAAAGCCGGTGGGGAAATTTGTAAAACAATATCACATGACTGCGCACAACTACAATTCCCATAAGTGTGAACTGATTGCCAAGTGCCCAGATTGTGATGACTTGCCCACAGGGATACTGCGATGGTCATAAACGGGAGGTGTGGTCGTAAGTCCCTTTTTTCAGCACCATTGCGACTTCAAACAGTCTCTAAATGAATAGTCATGAGTCAAGGACCACCTGTAATTAGATATGCTCTATATTTGTATATAGAGTACAATATTTTCAGCAAAACAGAGTAAAAATGGTTTAAAAAGTAGAAAAATCCCTCCTGCCCACCTCACACACACACACACACACACACCCAACTAAAAGAATTAGAAATGTTTGACTTTGTCTGAATTTTCTGTTTTCTGTTTCAGGTTTGGCTGTTTGGCAGTGCATGTCCTACTATCTCAAATCCATTTTATGCTTCCCAGATTATCTTTCATAATCAAACCAAATCGTTCTTTGAAATGATCCCCAGTAAATGAGTTCTGTGAAAGATAATACACCGGATACAAAATAATACAGCTTTTTAAAGAAAGATATTGTGTGCAGTTTTCTTATTGGAAATTTATTAAGAATGAAAACAAAATCTTATTGCCATTTACGCACCCTCAGGTTGGCAGAAATACAAGTATACGTATATGTATATTTAGGCAATAAATTTGCTGTCTTATAGAAAATCTGTATATTGCCTCAGCAGGGGTTTCAATTTCAAGGCCCGCGGGCCAGATCTGGCTTGTGGGGTGGTTAGATCTGGCCCATGGGGCAGCCCTGGAAACAGCAATGGACCAACCTGCAATGCCTCTGCCAGCAAAAATGGAGCTCGGGAGGGCCACGTTATGAGAGAGAGGCAGGGTCTGAGGGAAGTCCTGCTTTAGCATTTGGCCACCACATGAGCCCCAGACATGAGTAACGTCGAGCTGGCCACACCCACCCTGCCCCCCCCCAAGGTCAAACACAGTCCTGATGTGGCCCTCAATGAAATCAAGTTTGACACCCCTACCTCACAGCAGGGGTGGGATTCTACCAGTTCGCACCTATTCTCTAGAACCGGTTGTTAACATTCTAAGCAGTTCAGAGAACCGGTTGTTAGAAGAAATTACTGGCCTAATCCTGTAAGGAAGGCAGGAAGGAAACATTCTGGTGTTGCTTACAGAAACTGCCTCTCCGTTAACCCTGATTACATTCTTGGCAGGACTAGACTTCCTGTCTCAGGAACACCTCTGGAGTTTTTTTCCCCTCCTTTGCTGGTACTTTGCTTGTGTGGAGTGACCATTCAAAGTTACAATGGCACTGAAAAAAGTGACTTGTGACCATTTTTCACACTTATGACTGTTGCAGCATCGCCACAGTCATGAGAGGCCAGGTGAGGAGATGCGTAGCTCAATATGAGTGATATTGAGTTGGCCACACCCAGCCAATAACATGACCACCAAACCATGTCCACCCAGTCACATGACCACCAAGCCATGCCCACCACCTAAGCTACTCCCACAGAACTGGCTGTTAAACAATTTGAATCCCACTCCTGCCTCACAGCAATTTTTGGATGCTATTGTCTCAATTATGGTGAAATGAAAGCAACTCGAAGGATTTCCATACATTTAAAAATAATTTCCTATCTATGCATACATCAATAATCTGCCTGGAAGAAAGAGGAAGCATTGTAACTTCTCTTTTTCCCCTGATGATCTTATTGCTGATAACGGTTCCCACTCAACGGTTCCTACCCACTTCCCATTTAGCAATAGGAAAGCACCAATTGTCTTCTTTGTGTCAGGAAATGGGTACTAGCAGGTTAAGGGGATCCTCTTCTGCATTAACCTTCTACAGAGGATGGGTTGAAAGATTAGAGGGGAAGCCTTTGAGATGAAACTATGATTCATCCAACTGGGAAGAAAAATATGTGTATATGGAAGATTCCAGAACAAGCGTATTGAATTTCTCTGGATTTCAGAAGAGAAACTGCTGCACAATGAATCTGTTTGTTAAAGAAGGAAGTTGGAACTGAGAGAGATAAATATCTCTAGAATTGTTAGGGCTTACTTAAATGTAATATAACCATTACTGGAATAGATACCACAGCTCAGAAAGGTTCCTCCAAATAAAGGAGGATGTCCATCATAGTTAGCAATAATGAATATATTAACAATAGATGCTTCCAAAACTGAAACACTGGTCCAAATGAATAACAAGGATTACAAAAAGAACACAATTCTCAAAGTGAAGACAAATAGAAAGCAAATAATTCATAAGCTTCTGCAAATTCTTGTAAGAAAAAATCTGAAAATATATATATGTATATTTTTCTCAAAATACATTTGTAATATACTCTCTGTCCCTGTCATGCCCCCAGCATAGAGTTTGTGTATTCTTATTGCTGTTGTTCTTTAAAATGTATTGAGCTCCATCTGGTGGGCAAACACACATTTTTCATTGTTTGGAAAGTTGGTTTCGGTGGTGTTTGAGCACCCATTCTCCCATCATTCTGGAAAAAAGATGCATCCTGAGAAGCCAGACTCCATTTTGTAGCATTGTGAGGTAACAGAAGTATCTAGAAGATTCCAGATTAGTCTGTGACACATGTTCTTCTGAGGACAAAATCTATATCCCATATATGGCATTGCTGTTTTACCTCATCCTGTTCTTTAATAAAATATCAAGATCTACGTTTATCGTCTGGTTTATTGAAATATACAAAGATTTAGCTGCATATTGAGTTACACACAGGGTAACGTGTAGTGAGGACTGAACAGTCCCAGGGGCTGGAATATAGGCAAAAGAAACCCAGTTTTAAAATGGGATTCAGAAAATCCAAGAAACTGCAGGAAAGAACACCTTCAGGACAATTACTCCAGAAAAAGTACCTGAAGAAAAGAAGTTCCATCTCATAATGCTTTTTGCTTTTTTTCCAGGATGCTGTCAAATGGCTGCCTTTAGATACAGCCTTTTGAGATGTTCAAAAGGTTTTCAATAAAGCCTAAAATCAAGACTCTAGAGCAAAGTTAGCAGTGCTGGAGGAGAAATAAGGGTAAGGTTGTCCAAAAAAATTGTTCTGGGATGACATTTCCTAGGACTTAGCAAGTTAATCAAGCCAACTGGTAATACCAAACTATTTAGGGTGGTTCAAACTAAAAAGGATATGGATGTGATCTCAGAGTAAATACACAAGGGTAAAATGATGTCACTGGGCACCAAGAAAAGAAAAAAAAAGAAGAGAAAAGAAAAAGGAAAGGAAAGCTTTCATGGAAAAACAAAGTCCAGTTGCCTTTTGAAAAATCACCTTTAAGACAACCATGACCTGGGTGACTGAGAATCACCATGGACAAAAAGAAAGGAAAACAGAGAAGGGAAGAGGAGAGGAGAGGAGAGGAGAGGAGAGGGGAAAAAAACCCAAAGCACCTGGTGGTGTGTAAACAAGAAAAGGATCTTGTAAATATCAATCCAATTATCAAATGACCTTAGGAGACAGGAGGAAGACCAGGCAAAGGTCAGATAAGAGGCAGCTGAGCCCACAGACAAAATGGGGCATGGCAAACATCTCAAAATTAGTTTCATTCATTTTTTTCCCTTTGACTCTAAAGGTAGGAGGAGGGAAAGATGTACTTGCAGACTGGGAAGATTCTGTTAATGCAACCTTACAATAAAGAGAGAACTGATACTCCTGTATTTGATTCTTGTCTGGACTGCCCCGCAAGGCTCACACAAATACTCTATTAAGAATCCTGAGAATGTCTTGTTGCACATGGAAAATAATTCTATCTTGCTTTGTGTTCTGAATATTAAATTAGGCCGTTTACCAGCTTTAGAAAATCTG